AGAGAGAGAGAGAGAGAGAGAGAGAGAGAGAGAGAGAGAGAGAGAGAGAGAGAGATATGCTGAGCGATACAAGGTTGGTTACCACGTACCTGCTGCGCTGAAGATTGGTTGTGCGGTCCAAGAAGAAATAGCGGCCATAGCCGCAGAGCTCGGAACACGGAGGAGAGAGGGGAGAGAAGCAGGAAGGAGCAAACGAAGGTGAAGACAGACATAGCCGGGGGTGTACAAAAAAAAAAAAAAAAAGAGAAACAGCGAGAAAGAAGAAGAGTGAAGGAGGAGAAAGAGAAGGGAGATTGGCGAGGAAGAAGGTGCCGGCAGCCATAGCCGATCATAGGGTTGACCGGGCGTTGACCAGAGGGTTGACCGGGCGTTGACCAGAGGGTTGACCGGAGCGTTGACCGGGGTTTGACCATGTTGACCAAGCGTTGACCAAGGCGTTGACCGGAGCTGTTGACCATGATTTTGACCAAGCTGGAGTTGGTATAATCTCGCCGAGCCCTCAGCCTATCCCCCCGCCCTATGGATGTGCACTCACCTGGTGGTACTTGCTGAGTCTGAGTCTGTCTGTCTCTTCTTTCTGCATTGAGTCTCTTTTATCCAGGTGATAGGACTCCGTGTATGAAGGATAGGGCTTCGTTGACCAAACCCCTGCCGACAGAGTAGGGCTAAAGACTGTGTCTGACGACTCGACTGTCCCGGAGGCCTAACCCTCCCAAGGACCGGTACTGACCGGCGAGCTGCTCGGTGTGGCACGGTAGGCCCGAAATCTGAGTTGTGGGCTGCACAACGGGCCGTCTATGTTTTGAGACAACCTGCTGATCGCGTCGTCCTGTTTGCGACGTTAAAAAAATCCTGAGGAGTTACGGGGGATCTCCTTAAATGCCTCCTGATCAGCAACAGGTTCTGTAGTGATGACTGTAGTTTAGAGTCTAGGCTAGTGCCCCTAGTTGACAGGGTCTGAACCGGAGTGAAATCCAGGTGGGTTTGACCGCAGGTGCTGGGCATCTGGGTCTGGATTGCAAGGACTGTGGTTGCGAAAGCTTCCGTCGGCCGTGGTAATCTGGCTGGAACGAAGGGTAAGATTTTGTAGTCCATAGAGAGTCAGTCAGTCTTAAGTTAAGTAGGGGGGACGTCTAAGTGGTGAGGAGTGGAACCGCTGTTGGGTTGTGCATCTTTCACCATGGTTGACACGTGTAGTGGCACGAGTACCACCCCCTATACGCCCGAACAGGAAGCCAAGGCCGCCGCCGCCCTGAAGGAGACAAGAGAAAGGAAGGAGGCCAAGAAGAAGGCCTTGTTAGAAGAGCAGGCGCCCAAGTTGAGAAAGATTGAGCAAGAGATGGCTAGGGAGAAAGAGAGGCTAAAGAGGGAAGAAGAAGCGAAGTTAAAGGCGGTAGAAGAAGAGGAAGAGGAGGTGGAAGAAACGCCGCTGGAAAGGCGAAGGGCCGGAGGAAGAGGAGAATCCAGTGGCATGAAAGAGGACCTGATGGAGAAGAAGATTACAGAGTGGGTTGCTGGACTATCCCTGGGAGAAGATGAGGAGGCCCTAATGTATGTGCCCAGGGACGAACAGGAGGCAGCCGTAAAAGAATGGGAGGCTGAAGAAGATCCACTTAGGCGGCAGGTGTTGGAAGATGAAAAAAGGATGGAGTGGAAGTTTCGCCTGACAAGGGAGAGGAAAAGAAGGATGGAGGCGGTGAGTCAGGCGGCGATAGAATTAGAAGAGATAAAGAAGTAGAGGGATCAGATGGCGGTGCAAGTGGATTTATTGGGGAAGATGGAGATTATGGCAAAGAATATAGAGCGCCTGACACGAGTCCAGGAAGAGCAACTTTTATTTGGTAGAAGTCAGGACATTGTTGTGCGTTGTATACGATCGGGGATCCGGGACTTTGCACGGGAACTGGCAATACAGGTGGGCTCCGAAGTGACGGCCCGCCTAGACAGTACAGAGCGTTATTGCACGGGTGCCATAGAGGGCACCAGATTGACCGCTCCCAAAGAGGAGGAAGTACGTCCCCGTAGAGAGCCGGTCAAAGTTAAATTTCCCGATTCCTACAGCGGGAAGAAGGAAAAAAACTTTGACAATTGGGAAGCAAACGTCAAAACCTACGTGCATTTACAGAAAGTGTCCCCAGATGAGCAGGTCTTAATAGCCATCCACGCTCCGAAGGAGGAGGCTGCTAGTTTTGCCCGTTCCCTGGTCCGCGCCGCGAATTGTAATGATGATGTAGTTGCATACTCCGCCTTCACCCCCCTTGTTGACTTCCTTAAGTTGTTGCGCGAACGATTTGCAGATGTTTCGCGCAGTGTCAAAGCCTCGGACAGGCTGCAAACTATCCACTCTCGTCAGTGAAAGAGTGCCAAGGCACTCAAAGGAGTTATGGACGAGTTGGTTGCATTCCCTGACCACGGGGTCACGGAAACCCAGTTGGTCAACCTCTTCTATCGGGCTATGCCCGAATCCTTGCGCGGGCACTTCTTCGAGAAGAGCCAGCAATCCACCATGACCTACGATGCCCTGAGCAGGGAAGTGGTGGCTTTTGAAGCGAGGTCCATGTTAGTGTCCACTTTCTGGCACAAGGACCTGGACAAGGGGAAAAAGTGGAAGGGCCGCACTATCTCTGGACAGGTTAAGACCAAGGATCGTTTGATCCTGACGTTAGATGAGGGTAGTGTCGACGAGGTCCCCTACGAGCAGATAGAATGGGGCCTAGATGAGGAGCAAGACGACAGTGGCGCCAGTCAGGGGAGGACTTACGCTGCTGTCGCGGCCGGAGGGAGGCCGCAAGGAAGAGGAGGAGGCCAGGGCCAAGGGGGCCGGGCCTCAGGTGGCCGTTTCCAGGGCGATCAGGGGGTTGGCGGTAGAGGAGGAAACCGCCAAGCAGGAGGAAGGGGTCAAGGTCCCCCGCAAAACCGTTTTGGTAACCGTTCACCTAATAGGGGTAATAGGTCACCCTATAGGAGAGGTGGTTGGCACCCAGGTCTGCCACAGGGTCGACCTTGGGAGGATTTGGGCCTGGACCAGCACGTCTGGCAGCAGCGTGTGGATCAGAGGCAGTGCGTCTTTTGCGGTGACCCTGGCCACATCATTCGATATTGTCCAAAGTATAGAGAGGCCCGATGGGCTGCCCGACAGGCAAAAGGCAGCCGCCAGTAGGATTTGCAACTGCCCCTACCATAAGGCCATGTGGGGAAACGAGCGGGAGCCGGCAAGAAACTCCCACACCACATAAGCCTATGGCAGAGGTTGGAGGTCGGTGCCTAGATAGTTGTCCAGAGACTGCTTGTGTTAGGCACCTCCCTCATAGGCATGGCTGATGAGCTGAAAGAGAGAATGCCCGCCTGGGCCAAGATGAAGAAAGAGAGTAAGGGACAACTAGTTTTGGTAGATGTAGAGGTCTTTAGAAGTAGAGTAGGAGCCCTCATAGATTCAGGGGCTACCCACAGTTACATTAGCCGTAGAGCGCTGAAGAAGCTGAGGCTAAACTTGAAAGTCCAGAAATTGGAAGACCCCATAGTTAGTGTCCTCGCGGACAACCGCACTATGCGAGTTGAGGAGTTTGTAGAGGGAGTCCACGCATATTTCCGCCTAGAGAAAGATGGGAAGGTGGAGAAAGTTCTCCATTCCCTGACTCTCCTCGTACAGGATGACCTTCCTTTTGATATAGTCATAGGGATGGACTGGGGAGAGGCAGCAGGGGCCACACTCCACTTAAGAGAGCATGAGTGTAGGCTCCCTAGCCCGTCAGGCGAGGTTAAGACTGCCCGTCTGTTTCATGCGTCAGGTGTAGATAATACCCTGGCACATTGCTGTCTCAGTGCTCCTGCGTTTGCCCGACTGGTGAAAAAGGAGGAATTAGAGGAACAGGTCTTCGTAGTTTACGTCAGGCCTGTCACTGAAAAAGGAGGAATTAGAGGAACAGGTCTTCGTAGTTTACGTCAGGCCTGTCACTGAGCCTAAGGAGGAGAAGCCCATTGACCCAACTATTGCTAAGCTGCTGGAAGAGTTCAAAGATTTAGCGGAGCCGCCGACAGGAGTAGTATCGCGGCCCATCCAGCATCACATTTAGATTGAGCCTGGCAGTAGGACTCCCAAAGGAGCGGTGCATAGAATGTCCCCGCGGGAGTTGGAGGAGCTACGCAAGCAGTTAGACGAGCTCCTAGAAAAGGGTTGGATTAGGCCCAGTTCGTCTCCATTTGGAGCACCTGTTCTATTTGTCCCCAAGAAGGAGGGAGAGATCAGAATGTGTGTAGACTATAGGGGTCTTAATGCTATCACGGTGAAGAATGCAGAGTCGCTGCCCCGTATAGACGATCTTTTAGACCGGGTGCAGGGATGCAAGTACTTTTCGAAGATAGACTTGAAGTCCGGATATCATCAGATAGAGGTCCATCCTGATGATCAGTATAAAACCGCGTTTCGAAGATAGACTTATAGTCATGCCCTTTGGGCTAACCAACGCACTAGCAACTTTTCAACGTTGTATGAACGACCTGTTTGGACCGTGGTTAGATAAGTTTGTAGTAGTGTATCTAGATGACATCTAGTTTTTAGCAAGACCCTCCACGAGCACCAGGGTCATTTCAGGCAGGTCTTGGAGAAGCTGAGAGAGGCTAACTTCGAGATCAACCCCAAGAAGTGCGAGTGGGCAAAGACCCAAGTTCTGTGCTTAGGCCACGTCTTAGACGGAGACGACATTAAGCCAGAGGATAGCAAAATCGCAGCGATTAGAGATTGGCCTACGCCCCGCAAGCTGACAGAGTTGCGATAGTTTTTAGGCCTAGCGAACTACTACAGGAAGTTTGTGAGAAACTTTTCTACCATCGCTGCACCACTTCGCAGATTGCTAAGGAAAGAAACAATCTGGAGGTGGGATAAGGACTGCACGTCTGCCATGAAGAAATTGAAGCAGGCGTTGATAGAGTATCCAGTCCTTAAAGTCGCCGATCCGTCCTTACCTTTCGTCATTACCACTGACGCAAGCCAGTATGGCATAGGTGTTGTACTACAGCAAGACGATGGCAACAGATATAGACCCGTAGAGTTCATGTCTGCTAGGATGCCTTCAGAGAAGGTAGCGACATCCACCTACGAGAGGGAACTCTACGCTAGAGGTGGCAACTGGGATTTTGTGGAATACCTGTACCTTACCTACCCATACCCTCTTTGAAAACTAACCACCCATACCCACTGTATAGATGGCCTACTGGACCTTTACCCATCCTTACCTGCTTAAAAAAAAAGAAGTGTACCAATACCTGCCCTACCTGAACCCATTCAGACGGTAACTGCCCATAACTGCCCATGGACTTTCTGTTTCAAAACTACCCATGACCACCTACACCAAAACCTTTTGTTAACCACCTGTACCATACCCAGCCAATTTTTTTTTCACCCCTACCCACCCGTACCCACCCACAATTGTATACACCCACCCGTACCCACCCATAACTATCC